TGAAACATTACTTTGTTCACCACTAACTGAAAGTGAAAAATCCTTTCCACATTATCGATGATGAGCTCATCAACAACTCGGTGTGCGTGCATTGCATATCAAATTTGTGAGCTGTAGATTTAGATAACATAAATATACATACATATATCTACCCCATTTTAAATGATAGATCTGTGGTTATTTAAATTTTGTTTAAATTTTCTTTTCTATTTTTGATATTTATTTTCTATTTTCCTTTTTTTTTATATATTTGTATGGTAAAAACTCACCCATTATTTAGCATAAATTTGGAAATTTTATGTGACACATTTGTTATAAGTCAGCCTCCTGAGCAGCATTCATATGATATTCGACCGAATAGACCACGTCCAGCACGCCGTGTAGAAAATACAGCGGAGGTAGTTGAGCCTGTACACGAAGACCGTGAAGAGTCGATTCGGCGACGTTCGTAGCAGCTCAGAGTTGACGGATTTTACGTCGAGATCTTAATTAGAAAATGTACAAACTACAGCTAGTGCAAGATCTGGAGCCGCTCGACCGTCCTAAGCGACATCGCTTCACTTTATGGGCTCTTGAAAAGTTCCAAGAAGATCCGATGTTTCCAAGACAAATTTTGATCAGCGATGAGAACCATTTCTGGCTCAATTGATATGTAAACAATCAAAATTGCCGCACTTGGAACGAAGAGCAACCTGAAGAGATTCAAGAGCTGCCATTTCATTCAGGAAAACAATGGTCTGGTGTGGTTTACGGGAAGTTTGAATCGTTGGCCCATATTTCTTCAAAAATGTTGCCGGTGAGAACGTGACTGTCGATGACTACCATTATTGCGCCATGATAACTGACTATTTAGAGTCTGAATTTGAAGCCCGTGATCTCGGTGACATTTGGTTTCAACAAGGTGACGGTCGATTGGCCGTCAATATCGTGTGATATCACACTGTTAGGCTTTCTCCTGTACGCAAATGTAAAGTCTAGAGTCTATGCGTACAATACCCTTTTGATTTAGGCCTCAAAACATCACGCATGTCACTCGCAACTTACGAGTCGAAATACTCGTACGAGTAATGAAAAATTGACTCAACGAATGGACCATCTGAGACGTAGCCACGATCTTCAAAAAACAAAAAAAAAAAAATGTCAAAGAGTATTCGAATGAAATTAATAAAAAATACAAATAATAATAATAAAAAATTTACATTAAACTAAAATTTTCTGCGTTTTTTTTATGAAGAAGGAAACCTCAAAATGGATCACGCTTAAGAAAGTGAGTTAATATTTAACTGCACCCAATACTTTATTTTTTGGTTAAATAGATTATTACGCAAGAGGGCGAGTGGAAGCTATGAAAGATCACAATCACAGTTCACAAATATGTTTTTATGCAATTAGCATTTAATTTTTGTACAATTTTAGAATTTTTTTTAATAACTTTTCGCCGTAGCATCAGCTCTTCAAAGTCATCAAACATGTTTCAGAAATTTTTTCTAATATTTTCATTTTTTTTTTTCTTTAAGAAATCTTGTGTCACCACAGAGTTTTATTTTCACAACTTTAAATTAGTTCATGGCTGTACATTTTTTATTATAAATAAAAAAGGTGTTAATAGCTTCATTCGATTCTGCATAGATAAAGTTGATAATAAATTTTTGCGTTGTAGTGTCAGTTCTACACACACCCACCGTAGTTAAAACGTAATGTGAAACCACAAATCACACTTCCGCATCAGTAAGTGCGAAAAGATCTAAAAAATGCCAGTTACGAATTTGTCTGACCAAAATATTAACCACCAAAAAATATCGAATATTCTTGACATTAATTATTCATACTTTTATTATTATTTTATAAACGAAACTTATTGTTCTCCCTCAAGTTTTGAAGTGGAGTAAAATATATTGAAATGAGTCGTATAACTGGCAAATACCTTGAACTTTCGGCATCAAAATAACTTACCGTTAAACCGGTAGTATTTTGGAAACATTTTTACTTTCTATTGAGAATAAAGGGATTTCAAATATTAATGGAAATATAATAAATATATATATATATATATATATATATATATATATATATAGATATATATATATGTAATAAATTGGGATTTACTTTCCGGTAGAGCTTGCATGTTTTTAAAGAAAATTGTTATTTTCGATAAGGAAAATTTATGAGAAATTTTTAAAAATCATAATTATTATTCGAACTGAGTTAAAAGTTCACGCACGCTCCATTCAGCAAAAATAATTAGTATCTGACATCAGTCGTTTTATCATGCTTGCGAAGCGATTTGTCTGTTTTAGTTTGTAATATACTCCAAAAGGCTAATATATATTTTTTTTTTTAAAGGAGTGGTGAAGAATAGTGAAGAAAGCATCACAAGCATATGGAACTCTGAATCAGCAAATTTTAATAGTTTATATTTTTTGGAGTTTTATTTATATAATGCTAAAAATAATTAAATTTTATTTTAAAACAAATACATAGATTTTTAAACGAAATTTTTGGTTGTTATTTTAAATTTTTTCCCGATTTTTTGGTAAACTTTTATTGTTCGAGATTAGCAACGCTAGTGTGTAATCTGACAACTGTCAATTTTATCGTAAAGTTTGAAATTTCTGATGTTATACCTACTAGAGCTCCAGATACCCGGCTATCGAGCACTGTGAGCAGCTCGATATTCGTTCGTTGCTCAAATAATAGTTTGAAATTTTTTCAAAATTCAATTTTGCTTGCCAAAATTTCTTCTGTATTCCAATGAGTTTTATACTCTGCAAAAATAAAATTAAACAGATAGGAAAGAATTTTGGGAAGAAAGTCAATTTTTTTATTCCAAACTTTCAAAAATGCTTGAGAAAGCTCGAAAATGTTAAAAAAAAACTTGATCTCTAATACCTACTCAGAACTATTGTATTCTCGAAAGTAATTTAAATATTCATCTTGGCACATATCTACAAAAATTAAATCATATGTGGCAAGAATAACGCCTTAATCAGTAGTGGACGGTTATCGCTAAACTCAGATATCTTTTGTTGATAGAGAAACCATAAAATTAAAGCAAGTTTAAGTTGATTATATGTCATAAATCTTCGTCGAGATCGTATTGCTTTATTTTATTTTTCTAAACTAAGATATTAAAATTAAGAATTTCGAAAATTAATTTGAAATTTAGAAATAAATAAATTTTAGTCGCAACTAAAACCCTAATTAGATAATTAAATTAGCTTCGAACGTTTGTGCATAAAGTCTTGGGCAGATGAGAGAAAAAAATGTTTAACAAATAAAAAATTAATGCTTTATCAACAATGTCTAGTAAAGCAATAATATCGAAATAAAAATATACCCACACAAAAGTGTGCATTTATGGAAATTATTCTATGAATTCAAATATCAATTTTGTCTAACACTTTCCAACAAAAACAATTTATTTTGAAATATTTAAAAATGGTTTAAATAGCAATCAATTTCGAGTTTTATATGTTGAGGTGTTAAATCAAAGCAAAAACATTTTGTCAGATGCTACTTAATTTGCATAAGAACACACAGCTTCAAACGTGTACTCGTATATGAACATCAAATGACATTTAATACCACAAAAGAACACAAAAAAGAAGACAAAACAAAAAAAATAATCTAGCAGGAATTTAACTGAAAAGTCTAAAATATACAAAACTGGCGACAATGCAAATAATTAGTGCAAAATTCTACGGGTTCTTAAGTTCACCTCCGTCTTCGACTGCTTTAAAAATCCAGTTTTGTGCTATTTCGTAGTCTTGCTTCCTCAAATTCCAGTTTTGATTAGATTACGCAACATGTTCTACTTCCGTATTAATACGAAGAAGTTTGAAGAAATAATTTAATAAATTAAAATTTATAAAAAATAATAAAAAGAATATAAAAAAAATTAAAAACTTATTAAAATAATAAAATAAAATGAAATAAAATAATATAAAATAAAATAAAAAAATAGAAATATATTAAAATAAAATTAATAAATGAAATAAAATAAAATTAAATAAAATAAAAAAACAAAACAACAAAAAAAATAAAAAAATGAAAAAAAATTAAACAAATGAAATAAACAAAAAATTCAATAAGTTAAAGAAAAATAAAATAAGAGAAAGTAAAATAAAATAAAATAATATTCTATTAATAAAACAAAACAAATAAAATAAAATATATAAATAAATAATGATAAATAATAAATTAAAAAGATTAAAATTAAAATAAAATAAAGTAAAATAATATAAAATAAAATTTCATTATATAAAACAAAATATAGCATAATAAAAAAATTAATATAATAAAATAAAATAAATTGAAATAATGTAAAATTAAATAAATAAAATTAAATAAAGCAAAATAAATAAAGAAGAAAAAGATAAAATAAAATAAACAAAATAAGAAAAATAAAGTAAAGTAAAATACTTTAAATAAAATATATCTAAAAAACTTACTAAATAAAATTAAAAAATTTAAATTAAAATAAAATAAAATAAAACAAAATGTAAAAAACATAATATAAAATAAAATAATATACTCGCAAAATAAACTAAAATAAAAAATGAAAAAAATAAAATAAAATAAATTAAAAAAATAAGAGAAATAAAGTAAAGAAAAATACACTAAAAAAAAATAGAAATAACAATAGTAATGAAAGAAAGTGAAAAAATGTATAAATATAAATATTATAAAATTATTATATATATAAAATTAAAAATATAAATTAAAATAAAATGAAATAAACCAAAAAAAAAAAAATATAAAATAAAATAGTTTAAAGAAAATAGTGAATAAAAAAATAAAATAACATAAAATAAATAAATTTAAATGAAATAAAAACAAAAACCACTAACCCAGGAAAGGTTTAACCAGAAAAGCAAAGTAGATTTTTCTTAATAATTTTTTTATATTGAAAAAGTCAACAAAATATTTTTTTTAAATCGTTTTTTTTTTAACATATACTTATAGTGATAAATACTAAACTATGTGGCGATACAGTCAATTCGTTGTGCTCTCTATCTCAGTTGTGCTGGCAAATACTTCTTGCTTAAGTTTCCACTCGAAATCTCATTCAGTCTTGTATTCTGTGGCTTTTTATAATCATAGCCATCATCGCTGTAGCCACCTCGGGTAGTAAGCTCGAAATCAGCGTTTGCCGTTTTAGTACCACCAACGCCCGCAAGTGAGATGGTGCCACCAACATTACCAGAGCCAAAGCTAGCTGTAGAGGAAACACTTTTCACTGGTGTCACATTGTCACTTTCATCTTTATTATTGGTATAAATAACTTCAAAGCCGCCCTCAGCAGAGTTAGTGCCAGAGTTGGTTTTTGTACCACTTGTAGCACCGAAACCACCAAGAGAGGAAGAACCTCCTAAAGAGAGAGAACTTTCTAGAGAGCCAAAACCTCCTGCCGAAGCAGAACCACCAATTGAGCCAGAGGCAACACCAATGGAACCACCAATGCTGCCAAAGTTCGAGGCAATGCTTGTCACCTCACCGCCATTTTCGCTTCCGTCATTTTTATTCGCATAAATAACTTCATAACCACTGTTTACATTACTGCTACTGCCCGCATCACCACCGGCATTCACATCCCCACCGCGCGCATCAGTATCGATGCTACTCGTCAGGGCTGCACCACTTTGCTTATCATCGCCTTGTTTATTCTCGTAAATAACCTCAAATCCGCTATTGACATTGTTTGAGCTGGCAACACTTTCGCCCTCCTTAGCTGACGCAATGACGGCCGGTCGCTGCGCAACTACGGTGGGCTTTACATCGATTGTCGTGGCTTCGGTTGTTGTACTCTCGAGCGTCTCGGTTGTGGTTGACGAGGCATATGAGTAACCAGTTGTTAGAGGAGCATTTGTAGTACTAGATGTGATTGTAGTTGTAGTAACTGCTTGTGTGGTTGTATCCGGTGTAAAAACGGTATTAGGCTCTGTGGTTGTTGTGGTTTTTTTCGGTCTTCTTGGTCTGCGGGTGGTAGTGCCTGCATTGAACTTATTGGCGAAACCAAGTCCGCCGCCTCCACCAAAGCCGGAGAGAAGGCCAGTAAACAAGCCCAGCTTGCTGCTGATAATGCCTCCTGAGCCACTGAGTAGACCACCAGAAGGGGATGCGGAGAAGGAGGATGAAGAGGATGATGATCGGCTGTCAGAGGATGGTGCTGAAAATAAAAAAAAATATTTGAAATCAAACTAAAATTTATCTGCACATACTAGTGAAACTCGAGCTTTTATTGAATATGGAACTAAAATAAAATAGAACTTCATCTCTAGGGATGAATCCATTTACGTCACTTAAAGAATTCAAGAGAGATATTGAGTAATGCCTAAGAAGTCGTTTGTTAGCTGAGTCGTGTCCCCTCTTCAGAATAATTCAATTTCGAATTTAAAGAATTTAAAGAACTAAAAATAGCAGGAGATGATCTGCCGAGCTATTCAAACATGGCGGTAAAGTGCTTACAAATTGTCAGCTACTTTACAGAATATCTATCAGACTATCAGAATTTAATTGCACCCCATTTAAAAGGGGACCACACAGTTTGCGCCAATTATTGTAAAATAAGCCTCCTTAATATCGCCCATAAGGTCCTGTCGTGTGTGTTGTGCGAAAGACTAACAAATCGATTGGATTTTAAATGTGCGGCTTCATACCTGGAAAAGGCCAGTGAAAAGAGGATCGACACCCACTACCTCTTCGTCGTTTTATACAATCTTCTACAAGAGTAAATATCTGCTGGCTTATGCTAATGATATTGACATTACTGGCCTTAAAAACTGCGCTGTGAGTTCTGCTTTCTCCTGACCGGATAAGAAAGGAATTCTGGGCCCCTATGTCACTCATAACTTCCCTGTCGCAGATAACTTCGTTTATCTTGGAATTCATAACAATACAGCCTGGAATTCCAACGAAGATTCACTCTTGCAAACAGGGGCTACTTTTCACTGAGTAGGCAATTGAAAGTAAAGTCATCACTGGACGAAAACTTAACTCTACAAGTCGCTCATCATATTATATGGCGCAGGCATCTGATAATTTGGGTTAAATTTAATTGAATTAACTTTATTTCTTTTATTTTAATTTATATTTTGTTAATTTTTTATTTTACCTTAATTTACCTTATTTTGTTTTATGTTGTTTCATTTGATTTTTTATTCCTTTTATATATATTTAATTTATTTTGATTTTACTTTATTTTACTTATATTGATTTATTTAATATTTTTTTACTCTATTTTATTTTATTTTATTTTATTTTATTTTATTTTATTTTATTTTATTTTATTTTATTTCATTTTATTTTATTTTATTTTATTTTATTTTATTTTACTTAATTATTATTTTTATTTAATTTTAGCATATTTTGTTTAATTCCTTTTCTTTCATTTTTTTAATTTAAACTTTTAATTTTATTTTTTAGATTCTTTTCATTCTAAACTATTTTATTTCGTTTTATTCTATTTTATATTTTTAGGTTATTTTATTTTATATATTTTCTTTTATTAATATTTTATTTTATTTTATTTTTTTTTATTTAATATAATATAAATTTATTTCATTTTTTATCTTTATTGTATTTATTTTATTTTATTTTATTTTATTTCGTTTTAAGCACTATTATTTATTTTAAATGATTTAATTTAAATATTTTTTATTAATTCTAAGGCCATTTTATTGGTTTTGTGACATTTTATGTGTTTTTTTTTTTAAATTTTTTAAATAATATTCACCAACCTCTAGTTGTTAGGACGAAGAAGTTTTTTTGCAAGAAAAATAATGGTTTTGCTTCAGTTTGTTGCCACAATACGGTCGCTGTACCGAGCAGGATTAAAATTATTGCAAATTTTGTCATGATTTTGTTCCTGTTTGCACTTCACTATCTCCGTTTGAACCGTTAACGTCTTTATTGTTCGCCTATTGATTTGAAACTGTTGCTGTGCTTTGGCTACGTTCAAAACTTAAACCGCAAATAAAAACTGCAGCTAGAACATTTCAACGTTCAAAGAGCTGGCAAAAGCACCAATGGACGTGGAAGTGATTGAAGTAGGTGAAGTAAAAATGCTGTCATATAGAAAAAGACAGGTTTAAGCCAAGTTTCATCTTCTCCAAGCTGAAGGTCAGCGCTTCATCAGTATCTTCCTCCTTACTTAATTTTCCTTTTTTGTTTGTTTTTTCCCTTAAATAACCCGTCATTATGGCACGACCAAGCATGCGCGCATGCTACTGCCAGATAAAAATAAATATTTGTATATTTGTATATGTGCTTACGTTTTCTGGTCTATTAGCTATGCTTTTAGACAAGATCATTAACTTTGCTGTTCCGTTTTGTTTCATTTTGCTTTCGCGCAATCTTCTCCATCGTCTTCGCTGATCAAATTAACATAATATTTTTTTTTTGTTTGCTTATTTCCCATTTAACGTTCCATAAATAGTAAGATGAAACAAAAAGCCGTTGATAAACATACATACTTAAATATATGTGTATACACATGTGCATATGTCTTCTGATCAGTTTATTATTGTTTTATGGCTATTCTCAGCTCAATCAACTTACGCGTCCCGTAGATGTGAGGAATTCTTAATGCGTGCAAAAAATAAAAATGAAAATAAAAATAAAATTAAAACTAATCTTTTATTTGCAGTACCAAAAGTATGGAGGGAGATCGAATTTGTAAATACACAACAATTTTGAGAATAGTATGGCTTACATTATTTCTTCTTCTCCTTCTTTACTGGCATAGACACCGCTATGACTGTCAACAGTGACATGGGAGCCGGGTCACAAATGAGATAACTGTTTCTATGATGTATATCCTCGCCTTGTAAAATAAAAATAAAATAAAATTAAATAAAATTAAATAAAATAAAATAAAAAAAAAATTAATTAAAATAAAATAAAATAAAATAAAATAAAAAAGTAAAAAAAAATAAAATAACAAAAAATAAAATGAAATAAAATATGGAACTTTGTAAGTGAAACATCGTTGACTGCTGTTGTAAATAGAACTTTTAATTACCTTTCCATTTGCTTCCATTCTTCTTTCTTTTTGCTTTAAACTTTACTAGTTGTTTTATATGTGCACTTTCCGTTCACATCGTACAAGACTTATTCGTGTATGTACATATGTATGGAAATATTTGTGCGACTTATTCATTGTTGAATTGCAGTTCATGAACTATAGAATTTTTTCGCATACCTTTCCATCTTTCCTCCTACTGTTTATGAATGCTACAAGCAATGCAATCTAATACTTTTTGCTTTAACACATAACACAAATGTGTTATAAATAGAACTGTATAAAACTACTTTTCCTTTGATTGCTCTTCTTTTCATCTTCTTAAAGCACCAGCTATGCACATACACTTAAACATATACGTGTATGTACATTTGATATGTGAGAATGTAGTATACACACGTGTACATACATGTATCCCACTGGAGTTGAGTCCACTGGAACACGTTTATTGTTAATAGAGCAGTTTTTGATTTATAAACGCGTAAAAATTATTACCCATTGCACCTTGCTGACATTGATTTAGCGCGTCTGACCAGCTTTTTATCTATACCATCTATACCTGCATGTGTGTGCGTGTGTGCCTATGTACATATGTGTGGAATAATGCTGTATTCAGTTATAACTCAGTGTATGCTCAGGTGTATAAGTGTATTTATGGTTGTCTAGTGAATATACTCATATGTGTATGTACGTATGTATGTATATGTGAGAGATATATAAACCTTAAATGGGATCAGAGGTGTGTATTTTGCTTTTCGAAGCAATGGGGATAAATCACGCGCAGTAGTTTATGGCCAATACAATTGATATGTTAAGTAAATGTGCCAGAGAGTTGTGTGGAGAACCTCTCATTAATGCACATAGCTTAGAAATCACTTAAGTTTAATGTTTAGATACATCTTTTAAGCTTATATTGTAATCGATTAAATCGTTTGTTTACAGTATTAATATTGACATCGCCAGCTAGGCCTAGTTATTAATTTCGCCATCAAAAGGGAGGTGAAACGAACTTTTTCATTCAGGATATATGGATTTATAGCATAAATAAAATAATCTTACAAATTGTACCACATTATATAATAATAAGACCTTAAGAACATATTAATTCGAACGTAATCATTTTGTAGCATACTTTCAGGATTAACACATATTTCGCCTTTATTTATTTCCTTCAAAAGTATTTTCATGTAACGCTCAGCTTTTATATAATTGACGTTTTGCAACCACTAAAGCGATATAAGTCCGAGACCCTCATCCAATTTTTGGTTTGCGTCTTGACGTTTTCCCAACAAACGAAGGGACCTACTTTTTATACTAAACCGCATCTGACCTCCGAACGGCTGATTGTTTTTTTTATGAAGAGCGGCTTAGTGTTTAAACTGCAAAATGAGCTCATGATCATCTTTAATTTCATATTGGCCATTTTAACCATCTTAGGTTAACACCTACGATGATTGACTCTCGTATGGGGTAAACTTCTGACAGGTGGAAGCATATCTAAACTCTGACATGGTGGTGAATGTGGAGGAGAAGTGGCATAACTTTTCTGCTCATCTGCTACTTTGTTACGCGATATGTTGCTGTTTAATCAACTAGCTCATCATCAGTAATCGTCGGTCAGCTCATCAGGCTCGCAGTTCCTTGGGGTGGCCAAGGATCGAAAAATATTTAGAGATGCAACTCTTTTTATTTAATTTCTAATCTCTAATATTTTTGTATTTGTATTGAATTATCAATATCGATATTAAGTGTAAAAAAACTTCTTCATATTTTAAATTCATAAAAATAGAAATCTATGCCATAACATTTACATATGTATCTACTCTAAGGCTAATATATTTCTAATACATTTTCTATTATTATTATCTCTTTTTTTTAATTTCCACTTTCTAATGCCCCCTGAGCGCCAAATGTCTAGAATAAATTTTTCTATTTTTTATTTTTTTCAAATTTTTCAAACCAAATGAGCACCAAAGTTTTTTCTATAAACTTTAAAGTGCATTCAACACTTGAACGCAAATGCACGCACCAACACTTACACATTAAAATATATGTAGTTTACAGCAGCACCAGTTAGAGAATTTGCTACTAATGTCAACTAGAGAAGTAGTTACTTATTTAGCACAAAGAGAACGAGTCTCAGAGTATCGGACTCAGCAAATAAAATATTGAAATACAAAGTGTATATATTTTTTCAAAATCTGTAATTCAATTTTGTTTGCTTATAATTTTTTTACTTCCTACGTTTGATTTAATTTTTTCTTTTTTTTTAACTTCGCTGCTTTACATTTATCTAATACTTAGTTTTTCCTAAAACTACTCGTATACCTTCTTTCATTTTAATATCCGCGAACTTTGTTCCTCTAAATTTCTACGTAATGTCAGCGCTCGTTTATTCTTACCGTCACGTACGTGCTAGTACGCACATGCATACATACAGGCGCATATCATTGTGTATGGCATGAAATAATTTGTGATAGTAGAAAAAGTTATAAACATTTTTATCTTAAAGCTCATACACTTCAACAAAGTTTGAAAATACATTTGTGGCAAACGCGGCAGCATATTTTCAATGCATTGCATGCCCGCACAAACACACATACACATGTACTTACAAACGATTTTGTTGATGTAGTGCAAACACTGAAATCCTGCGAGAAAAATTTCATTTGAATTTTAAAAGTGATTTCAATGAAAAAAATATTGTTTTCTACGAAATTAGCAATAAGTTTTTAATGTTTTCTTTTTCGTTCGAACGAAGGTGCCCAAATGTAGGCAACATTTTATTAATTAAAGATAAAAAATAACTTTGAATTTATAATATATGTATATCATTGACATACTAGTAATTGGTGGATAGAGATATTTATGTCAAAAGGACGTCATAAAGTTTATTTTTGCCCTCTGAACACCGCAATTTGTTTTCCTTTTTACTCTTTAAAATAAACTAATTTTTGGTATAATATATATATCACTCTGTCCGCTTCAGCGGATACAAGGTGCCAAGACTATTCTTGTTACTTTTTCTGCAATACTTCTGTGGTCATAAAATGGCAAATATATTTTTTTGAATATATTGCTAAGTTTTCTTTCTAGATAAGCACGTTACCATGTTTGTATAAAGTTTTGAACCCTGGTACTGCTGTAGTACTATTGTGAAGCGAGTAGAAGGTGAATAGTAAGTTAATTTCCACAACAAAATTATCATAACTATTTTAAAAACTCATATAAATAATGGAACTAACTACTAAATCTCTTACCTACTTAATGCTTCCTTTTTACAGTTCATCCGAGCACCGCTTACGTGATCATAACCGTGTCGTTCCTTCAACGTTCTATAATTAGCTTGCCTACAATTATGTTGCCTACCATTAGGATGCTCTCCAATTTAGTTCAGACCTGGTTACACTGTTAGTATTTTAATTTTAAGAGCACGAAAGTACTGGAAATGCATGCTGGTAAAAAATTAATATTAATGAAAATTTGCATAAAAATAAAGATAAAAATGAAATGGAAGTAAAAATATTAAAAAACGAATAAAAAATATAAATGAAAAAATATAAGCATAAAAAAAATAAATAAATATATATATAACAGAAAATTTTTATAAAATTAAAGAAACCATTTAACAAAATTAATATTGAAATAAAAAACACAATAAAAATAAAACAAAAAAATGTAAATAACATTAAAATAATAAAAAAATTATTATAAATGTAATTAAAAACTAATATAAAAACCATTTTAAAGAAGGAATAAAAACGAAAATAAAAAGTTATTTTAAAAATAAATAAATATGTTTTGAAATTGTAAAAAAAGTAGAAATATAAATAAAATAAATATTTCTAAAAATTAAGTAAAAGCAAAAAAAAAAAAATGA